TGCTGACTTAATCATATACAAAAGTAAAATAGAAAAGGGAATAAGGGCAATATCGGCAATTAATATAGATATGTAAGCACACAATCACATACCGAGAAGGCATCAAAACAAAGGGAGGACAAAAACCAAAAACAAATTCGGTATCTAAACAAATGAAAAACAGAAACAGACACCAAGGAGGTATAGAGGTAATTAACACAAGACTTGCGACAGTGAAAGGTTGTTATTTTATTTTCGTTTATTTGTTAGAATTTGCAAGGAAAAAGACACAACATCTACTTATCATAACTTATCAAGGTATCAAAACATAAAAAATGTTTTAACAGGCACATTGGAGATATCAAAACAAAAGGAATTCAGGATAAAAACACATACCGGGGAGAATGCAAAAAAAAAAGGAAAAAGTAACAACTGATATTACGGAGGTATAAAAATTAAGAGAAACCAGAGGGATCTTGGCGCCAACCATTGTACCATCTTCATTAGTTCTTTGTCAGTTCGATCTCTTCTCTTCTTTCCTCTATCTGTTTGACCGAGTCATGTTAACAGTAAATGCCTTGAGGTAACTTTTGATCTAAACTTAATACTGATGTGTATGCAAGCCAACCTTCAAAGTGAGTTTGTCATTTCACATATTTACTAGTACAGTACTTAATGTGAAAGAAATAGAATCGATCATTGCAATATGAGAAAGATCTGTTTAGTTCTTCCTTTAGCCATTTTTTTTTTATCATTCTCAAAATATAACATGCACAACAAGGGATCAAGGGGAACCTACGTATCAAATTTGAGAAAGATCCCTCAGGTTATTCCTGAGAAATAGTACTAACAAACCTTCAATGTCAAAAATCGAAGATGGATGTCGGTAGGCCATTTTGTTTAACTGATCAGTTTCAAAAGTAAGCATGAACAATAAAGGATAGTGGGGAACCTGCATTGGCTGGCTCAAAATATTTTTTGTGCTAGTAAAAGATTTGAAGCACTGGCCCAAATATTTCCACAGCTTTAACACAATGCTTCAGCACATTTAAATTACATATAACATGACAATGTTTGTAATATGTAAAACAGAATAAAACATTTTTTTTTTTAATTCTTCAACCCTAGTTAAAACCTGACATGTTTCCCAAAGAATTACACAAAACTGGCACCTCAAAGAAGACACCCTGGCTGCATTTTATAAAGAAAATCTGAAAACAAAATCATCACATTTTCTAAATCACGGACAGTTCGATTCAAATCGACCACTGAAAAATGTACTGAGAAAGATCCCTCTAGTACTTCTTGAGAAATACCGATAACAAGAATTGATTAAGGACGGACGACGGACCACGGACCACGGACGCAGGGTGATTTGAATAACCCACCATCACCATCAGATGATGGTGGGCTAAAAAGTAACTGAGGCGGTATGAAAACTAGGAGAAGATAGAACAGACACCGAAGTACTAGATAGGATGATGACTGGAACGTTTTCCTGAATAAAAAGAAGACTTTTCTTTGAAACAAAACACGCTGGTTAAAAAGTGTATGTCGGTAGGGCAAAACAATTGTCGCGTTACATCACTTTCAGATATATGGATTATGCAATCGTCACCGAACGTCAATTTCAGATATAACGATTACGATTCCTCCTTGAATAACAATAATTTCGAGACCTCCTTGCATTCGATTTGTTCTCCAAACGATTACCGAAAGTGTGATCATAATGGTTACTTCACTTACAATCTAAGTGACAAGCACTGCGACCTTTTATAGCGATCTTTAATTTTCTTTCCTCAGTGGTAACATTTTAGGTTACCCTTTGTTTGGAGTTTACATATCAACATTCATTGTTCTTATTAAGTATCAAGATTTTCCTCACATGCGTCATTTCATATCAACAAATGTTATCGACAGAGTTGATACATGTCAATTGGATGGAATAACAGGCAAAGCCTATATAAATGATCTCCAACGGTGGCTAAAGTAACGGATTCTGTTATTTTGGATTTGATTTAATTTTATACATCAATTTTGAAATGAAAATTATAAACACAAAAGTTAAAGGGATGTAACTCATTCTTAGTTAACATAATTGAAATACAAATACATTCACACTTCTCACATCACACACAAAACACTTTTACAGCTATTATTTATTTTTTATAACATTTGATATAAGCTATCAAGTCACACAGTTATTAGCATGCATTGACCAAAAGTCCATGTGTCAATATTTGCACAGGTCACAGTTGCCAAAACTGTTAAATTACTGTAATTTCAAATGTAAACAGATAGATAGTCTATATGTAATTCAATGTATAAGATGTACATCGTAAAACAAGACAGATTGAACAAATCGTATAACTGACAAACATGCTCAACTGAAATCTCATATGTCCGTAGAAGAATACAATTTATAGAAAAGTACACTGTAGGTAAAGTAGGAGAAGGATATTTTCTAGATGTTTTACTAATTTGTGCAGGATATCTGAAATAAGAATAGAAAAGTATAAAGTCATAGCTGGTCAGATCATATCATATAGAGATTAAAACGCCTGGATTTACCAATAAATAACTGACCGTCATAAAGTAACTGTCTGTTTGTTAATCCACCACAATCAGGACAGCCTTGTAGAAAAATGTTTGTGTCAATACGTTTATGATTTCCATAATTATTAACAGAAGTAAATAAAGTAATTCTGAGATCATTATACATAGGACATTCAAGAAAATAATCTATTTCATATGCAAAAGAGCAAGCACAAGAGGGACAGTCAGTTAAATAGCCATTGAATAAATCAAGATTTAAATTGCTACAGGAGTTTATAAGTTGACAAAGAATAATATTGGCCCTTTTATCACCTTCAGTTTTAAAAATCAAGGTTGATTCATTATCAATAATAATATCTTTATTCAATTGGTGTTAAAAGGTTGCAAGATTTGGGGAGTTTAAAGATCATTATCAGTGGTGTTAGTTGTGCGGCACATTAGAGGGAGGAAACTGTCAAAATAGTTGTTAGTTCTGCATATTAGTGGATTTGTTTGTCTGAGGGAATAAGGATGATTGATTGTTAATGAAATGCGTCATATTGATAAATAGACAACTTTCTACTCTACGATTTCTTTGTTCAGTTTGTTTCACTAAGTCATTGATCATTGTTGGTCTACAAATTTCCCTTACTTTTACGGGACTATACATGATGGGTGCTGAAAATCTTTCCCGATAACCAGGCATTGTCTCTAATCTCATGTGGCGTTTCCTGATGCCATGAGTCTCCCCTGTTCCTGGTATTGTCTCCAATCTCATGTGGCGTTTCCTGATGCCATGAGTCTCCTCTGTTCCTGGTATTGTCTTTAAATGTTGACTTTTAGTTCGGATTTATGTATTGTCGATCGATGCAGTACTTTTTCTGTATTTTACTTGATATTATTTCCTCTGTGTATTTTTTCTGATTGCAGACGGGTGTTTTTCCTTTAATTGGTAAGTAACATTAAAGCTTGTTATGATCAACATTGTTAAGTCAGCTGTAAGAACATGAAATGTTATTAATATTTTAGTGACAATTTCCAATTATTAAAATCTTACCGATATTCATTCACCCAAAATGCTTTTGAGTTTTGAAGTGGAATTTGAAATATAGTGGCCTTTGTTTTTCTTTTAAGCTTCAGTATGCCCATTTATGTATTTATAACACAGAGAGAAACCATCATCATACCAGAGGGAATTTACACTGTATGTCTAGACGATAAATAAGCCTCAAGAACCGAAGAGATACCAAAACAAAAGGAGAGACTTAAGAACACACGCATTAACTGCGGAGACCAGATTATATATTCCATGAGGATAAAAGTTCCTGCGCATAATCTGACGTTATGTCCAGGATTAAAAATATATCCCCATAGTCATTGTACACACTATGATGTTGTGCTTGTAGTTGAAATTCCGGTCAGTATGACGATAGGAAAATACCAGACCCGCATCGCTTTCGATTTTCTTTTTCTATTTTTGTTTTATCCTATAATCTTACGGTTCCTGTGGTCCATCCTTATTTCTCACGAGGTACTGGACATACCTGCTCAAATATAATATGCAGGTCCCCTTGGTTCCTACAGTAGTTGTGCACGATTAATATTGAAACTGATGGCAAGAAAAAAAATAACTGCCAACCGGATTTTTTAGGATTTCTGCAATTGTAGTTTATCATCATTATTTCTCGGAGGGAAGTCAATGGATCTTTCTCAAACACAAGAAAGTTTATCTTAGTCCTACGCTGTGCAAGTTCAGTTCAAAGACTTGTATGGATATTTATGACTTTGATGGTTAAAAAATGTTATCGTTATTTATCAAAGTATTGGAGAGATCTTTCTCAAACTGAACAGGTAGGTTCTTTTATTTTTTATTCAAGAATAAAATAGGTATCAGATGGCCATCTTGGACTTGAAAGTTAAAGATTGTTCTCGCTATTTCTCGGAGAAAAATGTCATTCTTTCTCTTATTCAACAAGAAGGTTCCTCTTGATCCTTCGTTGTGCTTGTTCAAATTTTAGGTCTCATCACAAATTAATGTTATACCACAATAATTTGTGAACCGCTTTGAGACGACCTACGAACTAGGTTGTGATAAAACGGTATATAAAAACCTCGAGCTGTTAAAAGATGACCACATCTTGAATTTGACCGCTGGTAACATTCATCTCTAAGCATTAAGAAATCAATATATTCAGATGATTATATTTGCCTGGTTGGTCATACAACTGTTGCTCAAGAAGAAATGCGCCCTTCTTTTTTTAAATATGTATTCTGAAACAAGCCTTACATTTATATGTTGAATTATCTTGTTCAAAGTATATCTCATGCCAAATTTAGTCTAACTGATGAATATGATTCTGTTGTGTCTTTAATTTCAACTTTTGGTGGATAATCCATTCTTGTTTATCAAGGTGGAACATCTAGAGCTGTTAAAAGACACATTATTAAATGATGTTCCATATCTAAAAAAACGAAAAGACAAAGAATTCTCTTCTTTTCTTTATTTTAAATGAGTAATTTTACAGAATGACCTGTATAATTCTCGCATGTAAAAGAATCTGATCTTTTTACACAATACATTGCCGTCTACAATATGTCAACAGTACATAGAAATATATGAACACATTTGGTCGGTTATAGCTTCTCTGTCCTAGCATATCCACTGTGAAACAAATAAGCACCGAAGAAAAATATAATAAGTAAATAATATATACAATGACAACAACCAACTGTATTAATGAGATAGTCCTATGGAATGTGCAGTCGGTCTATCTGTTAAGGAAGATAATCAAAACGTCCATTGACAAAATTACTAAAATACAAAAATTATACAATTATTTGTCAAATCCATTGGAGGTAGAACCGGACAAATTCACACTGAAAGCAATGGTTCATTTGGGAAGACAGGTTCACGTTTTTTTTCTCATTATGATGATACTGAGTGATTATTTTCAATGAAACATTAGCTAAATAAATGCAAAACATATAAATAATCTGTTAATTATGATGCAAGAACTAACATTTGCATTCAAAGGAAATATTAAGTCTAAATAATTGTGCATTTTAATTGTAAAATATCGATTATTTGATTAAAATTCTGATATTTTTGGTAACCCAAGCCAGCATATATAAAAGATTGAATATTTGATAAAAAGACTATGACATACATTCTTTATACCTCTTCAAATCTATTATCGATACATGTAATACTTTTCAATAATTTTCAATCACACTATCTTCATCTTAATACACAATCGTTTTTTATAAGTAATATTTAAATTTCTATATAAATACTATTAACGGGATAAACTTTCATATGCACAGATATAGTTTAAATATATTTTTGTTTCGTCAATATATTGTAAATTTGATGGCAGTGCCCCGTCAGGGTCCTCCTGTCTTAGTTTCAGGCATTTGGCGGAATTTGTATGAACACCTGAAATGCTACCCCTAAGCTATGCGACTGACTGCTTTAAAAGTTACCAAAATCTTGGGTTATCGGTTTTGAATTTAATCATATTACCCATTGCATGGGCTTCTGTTCCCAGAGCTCATGAGGGTTACCGGAAGCCATGACCATTTTAGGCCATTAAAACAATATAGTAAATCTTTATAGATTTTTCTTTGGTCACTATTTGATAATGTAAATTTAATGGACCTTGAATTAAGCTTTTGACACATTAACACTTCTGTTTAACTTTCCTTAACACCTTCTGCTGTCGTCTACATAATGTAACAATAAAGTTAGACAACAAACTAAAGAAACAAGGTCAGACCTATATAATATAGCTACTGGTCCAAATATCCTACTGACATTACAAGGTCTGACCTATATGATGTAGCTACTGGTTCAAATAACCTACTGACATTACAAGGTCTGACCTTTATGATGTCACTGGTTCAAATAACCTACTGACATTACAAGGTCTGACCTTTATGATGTCACTGGTCCAAATAACCTACTGACATAACAAGGTCTGACCTATATGATGTAGCTACTGGTCCAAATATCCTACTGACATTACAAGGTCTGACCTATATGATGTAGATACTGGTCCAAAAAACCTACTGACATTACAAGGTCTGACCTATATGATGTAGATACTGGTCCAAATATCCTACTGACCTATTACAAGTTTATAAATCTTTAAATTGACAAAATTTGTTATTTTACTGTATTGTAAATCTTTTCTTCACTATAAGGTAAGACAATGCTTTGATGCACCTGTATCAGGATACCTGTTACACACCAAGTAAATCATACATATCTACTGATAGAAGTCTGAAACATGTACACGGTAGAAATAACACAATTATAAAACAAATAAATTGACAACGTCCATAACTAGAGGAGAAGCTATAATCCGACCGTACAACAACATTTGGTTAGGACTAACAGACAACAAATATATGTACATGGTATAAAAGTCATGTTTCTCAGACATATGCATAGGTGAAATAAATAATGGGTCCTTCTTTGTGCACCTTAGGTTAAATGCGATTAATCCATGCAAGCTAGTTACATAATCATGAAATTATTGAGAGCATTATTCTATTTCCTGGTAAATATGATGACATGTAGCTAACCTGCTCTTGTGACTTTCCAACGGTATAAATGTAATGCCTCTCATCAGTCACCTTTCTTATCCTTCCGTTGTTTGAATCCATTAATTATGTATAGGTTGATAAAACATTAAGCTCTCCGATACCTTTGCTGTACCAGTATATAAAAACAGGCTACAATTTCTGTGTCCATCTATCAGGTATAACAATGATTTATTTCAGTCTTACAACACAAACTCTTCTCCTTTCCAACATAACAGAATGTTACTGAGTATGATACTTGTGATCAATGGAGACATAAATCATGAAAATAGCCGACACAGCAGTAATTAATGCAACAATTGGATATGAAGTACACCTGATGTATTGCCTTAATACAATTGTTTAGTCATACATTAAGTGTCCTCAGAAAAGATCCATCACGTTAACAATTATTTTTCGTATACTAGTAAATGTACTATGCAATATAAATGACATATTTTATCAAGTAAAAATTAAAAAGAAACATAATCTCATAAAAATCCAAATTTAAATTTAAGTATTAGCTTGCTACGATTTAGATTTTATTATCTGGTATCATTTCTGCCCTTGGTAAAAATCAAAATCTTAAACTAACCTGACCACCCCTAAACTCCACAATAGCACAGTCTAGACTGACTGCAGCAGAGACCATTGATGATGTGTGAGGTAGGAAAGGATAGTTATCAATGGAATGTTAACATTCAACCAAACAAAAAAATCAAAGGGAGACAACTTGCTCAAACTGTAATATTAACGTATCAATAAATCTTATTGAACTACCAGAATTCGAACTGTTTTAAAACCATAGTGAGTCATACATTGTAACTTTTCAATTCCTACTCCTTAAAAGTGTATTTCACTGATCTCTAAAATCACATTTTTAAAACCTCAGGTAAAATCAACAAAGTCTGATCTTGCTCTATCAAACCCTATTGTGAGGATGTAGGCTCTCCAAGTAATTTTTTTCTTTTCTTCTAATTAATAGTTCTGCTGTATAGTGCTTTAACTTCACTTGATAAAAACTTCACCATTAAAACCAGGGTTAAAAGTTGAGGAACACAGTTAATAGTCAGGCGCGCAGCTGCCTATACACTGGTACACCAGTGAAACCACTCAATTTTCAAACAGAAAAACGAATGAAATAAAAACACTGCTTGTTGTACCCCTTTGTCCGTCTACCAAGGCCCTGCCCTGTACCTGCTCCTAAACGAATGCACTCCGACCAAGGGTTAGCTACGCCCGATAGTCAAATGTTGTTGCAAAGTTATTTCTATTGAAATGGCAACACATTTGCTTTGTATACATTTTGTTCAGGCTGCGAATGCACTCAGTAGTATTACTAAAACTTCTAGTCAAGTGCTATACAGTGTATATAATTAATGTGTAACAAGTTCACAAATGTTTGTTTCAATTAAAAACCATGGTTACAGAAGCCTTTGGATGTAACTTGCCATACCTAAGGTAGCTACTACATGTATATAATACCACGTGATTGTCCGATCTATTCCGGACATGTTTACAATATGTACTTCTACTGGATTTGTGCCTGGTGTGATTAATGAATCCCATTGTGCAGTTTATACTAATAAATCTTAAGTTAGAACTATATTTAAGTTAATGATTATATTTTATATATGTAATATTAAGTTTTTGGGGTAAAATCTCAGTAAATAAATGTTTACATATCTCACAATACACCTTAGAGCTCTGTGTACAATACAGCCTGTACTGATGAGTATAAAGTTAGTAAATAATATAAAAACACTGTCAAGTACTAGTATCACAGTGGTCAGTAATAATACTCTTCTTCACAAGTCTCCAGGGTTTGTGTGTGGTACATACTAAGTAACCAGATCTGGTAAGACTGCATATACATGTATAGAATAGTTAATGAGTTTTTATATAAGATTTATGAAACAAGATAGCACTGTTTCATTTAAGACATCTTAAGATTAGCTAAATGTCTTTAATTCATTTCATATTGTGACAACATCCTATAACATTTTATTTTCAGTAGGTAAAAACATTATCAGAAAAACAGACGATTTCTGGCATTGAGAAAATGATATTATTTTCTGGACCAATGAAGTAGTTTATTTTAATACTTTATGCTTGGAGAGTACCCTGCCCTTATACTTAACTAGTTCATTTTGTTAATTTGAATGTATAAATTATATATAAATAATTACAGTTGTTTATGATATGTTATAAACAGAATCAGTGGGTTAGCAGCATATAATGCTTCTAAAACGATTCACTAATGCCATTATAATCACTCAGATTACAGCTAGTACACATATCAGTACTGCATCAATCTGTTATTGCCTGTACAGTAAACATGTATTGCACTTTGATAAATCGACATAGTTGATACTTGTGCAAGTTTAAAAAAAAAATACAGTTTAGAATTTGATCAATTACTATCATTAAACTATGATGAGGATGTGGTACTTTTATGTGCAAGTCACACTACACATGTGCAAAGGTTTACCACAAAAGAGTACTCCAAAGGTGTACTCCAAAAGTGTACCCCAAAGGTGTACTCCAAGAGTACCCCAAAGGTGTACTCCAAGAGTACCCCAAAGGTGTACCCCAAAAGAGTACCCAAAAGGTGTACTCAAAAAGTGTGCCCCAAAGGTGTACTCCAAGAGTACCCCAAAGGTGTACCCCAAAAGAGTACCCAAAAGGTGTACTCCAAAAGTGTACCCCAAAGGTGTACTCCAAAAGAGTACCCACAAGGTGTACTCCAAAAGTGTACCCCAAAGGTGTACTCCAAAAGTGTACCCAAAGGTGTACCCCAAAGGTGTACTCCAAAAGCTGCTGAGGGTTTGCTAGTCTCTTGTAACATATTGATCTTGATTTAAACATACACACTAACATCAAAATGATTTCAATAGATAATAAACATCTGCTGGTTATGACTTAACCCTTTGAAATCAGATAATGACATGATCAATAATTCAAGTCTCTATGAATTTGCTCCAATAAGTATTTCACTTATGGTTGTAAAAGGAAACCTGCCTTATACGAAAAATCTTTCTCAGAAATGGTCAATTTTATTTCGGAACCTTTTGTTTAAGTGTTGTGTATTTCATAATAAAGATCAAAATGCTACATGTGTAAATTATATGATATTAAATTCAAAAGTATTTAACAATTGTATAAACTGTTACTTCAATTCTATAGGTAATCAAGATTTGGTTGTTAAACAGCTGACTTGCTACTTCGCACATTGAACTGTACTTAAAGCCAGCTAGACACTAACAGTGTGTCCCTATACTGTACCTAAATTAAAACTACTTAATACTTTGATGTCATATAGTGCCTTCTCCTCACCGACCTCCATGGCCACAATTAATAGACTTCTACTCTCCACAGACTAGGGTGCATCCATGTTGTTCATAATTCTAGCGTCCACCCCTGAGTCTTCTGGAACAGGTCACCAAGCACTGACATTGTGCATTTGGACATAAACAGAAAGCTCCTGTACTGATTCTGGTCATCCAGACTCTTGTCTACATTAATCTTGCTCTCCAACATGCTTGTGTCCAGTGCTTAGCCTATGTCAGTCCACATATTCAACATAATTTTCTGGAATGAGGCCAGTCTTGTGGTCCAGATTACCCTCCAACCAGCCTGGTTCCTTGGAAGGCCGCACTATACAACACACCAACAAATAGCACTAGTTATTACAAATAGGCCGCACTATACAACACACCAACAAATAGCACTAGTTATTACAAATAGGCCGCACTATACAAAACACCAACAAATAGCACTAATTATTACAAACAGGCCGCACTATACAACACATAACAAATAGCACTAGTTATTACAAATTAACAAAATGATTTGTGAAATACTCTAAAGTATGATATTCAAAAGACTGCTGTTTGTAGGTCAAGTGTTCTGTAAAGATTGAAAATGAACAAAAGGCCATAGCTCTATATGTAGTCAGCACAGGACATGATTCTAGTTTGTAACACTCTGCCTTCTCAAGATACATAAGTACAGCAAGTCTGATTAACATAGATGACATAGCAAAGAATTTATACTTTAGAAAAGTATTCAATTTGTTGATGACCTGCAAGCCAGATAACGCCATATAATGATACATACTATCATCAAGGTATAAAACAACAATAAACTGTATTTTTTTTTTTTTCAATATTTCCCATATAGTTCATTAAAAGTGTCTATTGTTTATGAATTTTACATATCTAGCTAATGAGGACTTACCATTTGTAATAATCATGTTGGGTTCAAAAGATAGTTCAGAGTCATTCTCAGCATCACAGTGGTATAGTGTCCGCACCGTTCTGTAAAGTTATCACAAAAACACTCAAGACACAGAATACATATACATCTCAGCATAGATACAATAAATGTACATCAATAAAAATTTATAAGAGTATCTACAGTATTGTAAGGTGACATCAGATTGCTGAAGTAAATACCTCATAAACAGTTTACTGTTCCTGTACGACTTTACTGAAATACCGGAGACAATTGACTTTAACGTGCAGCTCATAAACAAATCATATTGTAAAATTTAAGATGTTGACATTACACTTTACCTCTTCTTAGGTTTTGTGAAGTTGCTGGAGCCTCCCAGAGATCCTGTCAGGCTGCCCGTCATACTCGGTACCGAGGATGTCCTAAAATCACCAAACATAGCCACACATACAACACACGTACAGTAGGACCATGGACATTATCAGTCCAAGGAAACACACATGACTTGATCAGCTCTACATTTCCACCCTCCCTGATAATGTATTAGTCACTGTGAAAGCTATTTAAAGATAAACAATTTGTCATATTATTTTACAGGATAAAAACTATGATCTGTACATATGTTTTATGCCTAAAGGCAACAGCCCAAATTATACCTTAAAGGTTGGCTCACTTTTAAAAGCACACAGAAACAAATAAACATACCAGCCCACCAAAATGTGTTACTGTCAGTATTCTTAAGATAACTTCACAGAAATAACCAGGCCCCAGTTTAAAGAATATTTTTAACTTACAACAAACATTCCGTTGGAAAGCATTCCTTAGTTAAGAAATGTTCCTTTACCCCAGTCATGCCTTCTTGTGGAAAACCTTAAGGTAATTTCTTCAGTTAAGGAACTGGGACCAGAACTATATATATACTAGTGGCCATTGACCAAGATGAAGTGAAAGTTATTCACGATTGTATGCTTCTACTATTACTACACATGTCAATGTTAATTTCTACTGATGGATCAGACAGACAGCGGTCCGTGTTCACTATAGATCAGACACGTAGGTACAGAGTGCAGGGACAGGTTTGTGATTGGTTAGGGGGATATTACACAGCAAACTATATTAATATCACAGGGAAACAATACATTGGAATAGATCTATTTTCCAGTTAAAACAGTATATGTCATTATTTTATTTATAACAAACATTACAAATCTATAAATATCTTATTTGTTATAACTGAACCAGGTAAAGCACAATTCTTAAAAAAAATCAAAATATTCTCATGTTGAATTATTACCTTACAAGCTGTGAAAATTAAATTAAATCAAATCAAATTACGTAAAAATCGGACGAAGCTTGGATCTTTTCTGCTGAAATAACGAAGGTAATGCTCCGAAATGATTGAGAACTTTTGCTCAAAAGCAATTAAGCAAGGTACTTAATTAGTAGCTGGATATCTGTAAAGTGAGTAGCAATGACCGGCCACTGAGTGTTACAATGTTGTGTACAAACACCTGGAGTGACCCCCAGTACCAGTGATGGTTAATGTGGAGGAATGAGCAAGATTTTCTGTTTAACATACAATTTAAGCTGCAAAATGAATATTTCGAAAACATTTTTACCTGCTAGCTATTGTATAGTAGTTCAAACATTGGCTTACAAACTCATTTTTCTAAAGAAAGCCTAAACTTGGAAAATTCACCAAGCTTTTCTATATGCTTGCTATTTTGTCATCTACAAAGTTGTCCATGGACTCCATATAACAATTAATATCAAACCACAATTCTTCAATTTGCTTTTCAAAAATATTACAAATTCACGATATTTGTCAGGTGTAAATGCTTTTAACTGATGTTGAAGGTTGACATTTCAGCTGCAGGCAATACCGGTATATGAAAGCGCTTTTTCTCAATTGTGAGACAACTTTAAGGAGTTATACTACACCTGAGCACTACACGTTTTCTACAACTACATACAAATAACGAAAGAAGTAACACAATGAATAAGAACATCATTGTGGTGTAATTTTACAACCATTTTAATTTCTGAGGTTAAATTTTCATTTCAATGGTAAATGTGAAAACAATCACTTTCATAGCAAAAAAATATTGAATTATTTCTCTCTCGGTCTACTATATTTGCTTACCCTAAAACAAACTTATTATAACAACTTGATAAACATTTTACCTAGTACAATCATGTCTTCGATTTCTTGATAACAATAACTATAACCCTTTAGGAAATTAAATTTCATGTTCAACCTTTCTATACTGAAAGTCTACTCTTTCTGACCTAACCTTTCTATACTGAAATTCTGCTGAATCAGACCTAACCTTTCTATACTGAAAGTCTACTGTATCAGACCTAACCTTTCTATACTGAAAGTCTACAGTTTCTGACCTAACCTTTCTATACTGAAAGTCCGCTGTTTCTGACCTAACCTTTCTATACTGAAAGTCCACTGTATTAGACCTAATTTTTCTATACTGAAAGTCTACTCTTTATGACCTTACCTTTCTATACTGAAAGTCTGCTGTATCAAACCTAACCTTTCTATACTGCAAGTCTGCTGTTTCTGACCTAACCTTTCTATGCTAAAAGTCTGCTGTATCTGACCTAACCTTTCTATACTGAAAGTCTGCTGTATCAGACCTAACCTTTCTATACTGAAAGTCTGCAATATCAGACCTAACCTTTCTATACTGAAAGTCTGCTGTATTAGACCTAATCTTTCTATACTGAAAGTCTGCTGTTTCTGACCTAACCTTTTTATACTGAAAGTCTGCTGTTTCTGACCTAACCTTTCAATACTGAAAGTCTGCTGTTTCTGACCTAACCTTTCTATATTGAAAGTCTGCTGTTTCTGACCTAACCTTTCTATACTGAAAGTCCGCTGTTTCTGACCTAACCTTTCTACACTGAAAGTCTGCTGTTTCTGACCTAACCTTTCTATACTGAAAGTCTGCTGTTTCTGACCTAACCTTTCTACACTGAAAGTCTGCTGTTTCTGACCTAACCTATCTATACTGAAAGTCTGCTGTTTCTGACCTAACCTATCTATACTGAAAGTCTGCTGTATTAGACCTAACCTTTCTACACTGAAAGTCCGCCGTTTCTGACCTAACCTTTCTATACTGAAAGTCTGCTGTTTCTGACCTAACCTTTCTATATTGAAAGTCTGCTGTTTCTGACCTAACCTTTCTATACTGAAGGTCTGCTGTTTCTGACCTAACCTATCCTTCTTGTCTCTTGGTTTGTTTCCTACTAGTGATTCACTCTATGTGTACCAGAAGCTTACATGGAAGTGGAATATGAGGAGTCATTGGAACCTCTTTTCTTGATGCTTCCGCTACAGTAAAAAAAGCAAAACATGGATAAGGCAGCATATCTAATGAAGGGCAGGCAAACAGCAACTCGACCAGACACCTGTCTGAGTACCAAAAACTTCTCATCAGTATTCATAAATAAAACCTTGTTAACAGATTTAAAAAAAAAAAAAAAAAATATTAATAGTTTTATTTTGAAGTTTGCTTAAATCTGTTTTCATTTCACCAATTCAAATGATATGAATATCCATGGAATAAGGAGACTTTAAAAGAACTTAAATCGTGTTTAATGAAAGTAAAAATTAGTCATTTGAGAGTAAGGCAGAGTCTAATGGAGAAAAAAACACACTTCAGGACGAATGTCTGGATCCCAGCTTTTGTAACAGCTGACTTCGAAGTTGTTAACTTGAATTGATGTAAAGCAGGATTTAACAAATGGCAATATTAAGAATCTTCCTATACTATCTGCTAATTAAGCAGTATTTACAGTGAGAAGGTATTCATCAAGGTTGACAGACAGGTGCTGGCGAGTCACCCCTCCACCCCTACGTGTATAATCTCACCATTAGATTCTACTATCTGGGATGAACCATCATTCATCAGTAGGGGTGCAAGGGTTATTGGCAAGGCTAGTATTTTGTTACATGACTTTGCAAATTAGTCGATGTGAAGAGGTTTTTCTTGATTATAAAGAATATGTTTCCAGGATAAATATTTTTTAAATCAGGAAGTGTACCAAAACATTTCAGAAATTGAAATAATTGGGAGGTCTTCTTGGACTGTACACTGTGCAAACAAACCTGCATATTGTGAGGTGGTGTACATGGTACTCTAAAGGTCCTCTAGTACGAGGGACAGACCAAAACAATCTCAAGCAAAACACATTCCAGAATCCAGTGGCATGACAAAAATCAATTTAGGAACAAAAACTCAAACGCAATACAGACCATCATAAAAATAAGGACAAAAAGTGTTCACATGTTAAGATTTGTGATTTAAAATAGATACAATTCAGTTATTCCTGATTCACTATAATTTCAAAACGTTTAATTCAATATGCAAGTTTGAATTAGGAGGTACAGAGACAGCGACACATACAGATGACAGAAAAACATCACTATTTTTACAGTACAGATCTGGCTAGTAAATGGCAAGGTATTACAGTAACAGTTGTCTTGGAGATATTTGAAGGAAAACCATCATCATCAGAAGCTTTAGTAACAATGAGTTATCATCACCAATATATTTAGAAAGATGGCTAGATTATCATTATATAGAAAAGGACATGCAAATGATCATGATATGCATATCTTCCCTACAAAAAGATGTAATATATTAAATGATCTGTTTTAATGTTTTGACTTGAGATCTTCATTATGGGATAGTGAAAGTAACCCCGAGATATCCCAGTGTTATAGAGGACTAGCTGGTGAAAGTGCCACCACAGAGTAACCCCGAGATATCCCAATGTTATAGAGGACTAGCTGAATTCCCTCCACAAGCAAGCTCCCACATTACATGAGTGTGTGCAGCCTACACCCGACTCTACAGCTCTACTACAATGTTAGATAGTGCCTCAGTCCTACCAGGAAATGTACATCTGTTCCCTGACATAACACAACACACACATGAATCACTGTATAGCAGTTACATAATAGTAAATACCAGCTTATTTCTATATACTTTCTGTAATTGTTTTGCTGTGTACATGTCCATATCACTCCGTCACAGCAATGACTTTTAACAGTTTGTTTTTTAAGCAAAATTATGCATGACTTTGAAGCATTATTATATTAAATCATAAGTAGAGCTGGAGAAAGAAAATCTGGGAATCTGCAAATTAAGCTATTAATAGTATTAGTTAAAACACTTAGCAAACCACTTAAAACAAGATCAGCATGACCTCACTGGTCCTACATGACTTGCAATACATATGCAAGAGTAGAAATGCTCGTCTATAGGTTTATGTATTGATTAAGAAGCTACCATTTTATAAACATATATGATACGGTACCAGTTGTACTAATGCTTGTACAGGATAAAATGAAATAGGCAAGACACAATTTATTTTTATTCTACTAACCTGTTTTAATAAGTACAAAAAACCCTGCGTTAAATGTTAACCGGTATATCTACGTATCATGGTGAGGACCTACTGAAAACATGGTGCGTCCATACTTACAAAGTGGGCACGTCCGACCCTGTCATGTGTAAGTTGAACCGGTTGGCTACAGAGAGAAGGTAATGGCACACATTATCATCCTTGTATGTATCAGTTTATACAAATATCATTATAAAAGTACAGATCAAATAATATGAAATATTATCGTCATTTTATATCCAGTTTTCTGACAAATACAGATGGGTGAATATTTATACTATACTTTACAAAAGATTGGTGGGTCAAGGTTATTATATTCCAACCAACTTTATCCCTCATCCAAGCAAGCCATGGACCAAACAGATGAAGTTGTTTGATGATTTTAACATATTTAATAACTGTGACACTGACTGTAGTTCAAGATCATTTATCTAAACAAATGGTCAGCCATCATCCAAGTAAGCTACAGGCCATATATCATTGCTAAGACCCTCACAGCGTGTTAAATGTTATTGGATAATAGCTTTTCAATAATTTGTTAGAAGAATTTGAATATTTTCAATTAAACATTACATATCAACATATATAAAGATAAACATATTGGATCCCTGTGACCTTGAATGTAGGTCAGGGTCATTTACTTGAACGACCTTAATAGCCATCCCAGCACACAGTAAACATATAACATTATAAAATTGACAGCACAAGTCCTGAGAGGGTTTACCTAGTGCGTTGACATTGCTGTAGGTGGGACCAGGGACCTGGGGGGCAGGGCCCTTGCGATGGCTGTTGACTGGAGGCGAAGAGGTATTCTTAGAGACGTGGTTTGAGTGACTTGAGTTCAGTGACTCAGAACTTCCACTAGTACTACTTCCTGTGGCCATTTCAAAACCTGAAGACAAAACATGATGGCACATACAAAATTTGTCAAATTTTTCAAATATGTCATTTTAATTCGGAAAAAATGTTGTTGTTTTTTCTGTTAGTAATTGATGTGCTTTTATGCACATTAATTGAAATATATTGTTTCTTTCAACATTTTTTTTTAATTCAAAGCAAAAATAATCTATACCAATATTCATTATCAAAGAAACAAAATGAACTGCAATTCAACGAAAAAATCTGAAATCTGAAATGAAATTCCATTTTGATCACTATCTTATCACAACCTTTAGATAAATGGATTTTTTATGTTAAAATGATAATTCCTGATGTACCTCCTGTTTGGGGGTTGTACACCTCTACCCCACGTAGTTTAGCTTTTCCAGGTTGGTAACTTTGGGGCGGGGCACGTGGTGCCTTATTTGCATAAATAGGTTGTGGGGCGTGGGATACATGTCCAGTGTTTGGACTAGCCATCATCATGTGATCATTGAGTGGCACAAACTTGCTGCTAGGTTCACGCCTCTCTGTCAGCATGGCTGTGGAGGAGGGCACCACACGAATCTCGCTAATGTCAGCCCCCTCGGGTGCCGTTTTAAATATCTACAATACACACACAAACATGTCAATTTATCTGACAATAACTTATTAGCATTGGATTCAGAAAAAACATATACTAAGATCACTTTTGTTTCATTTTTTGACAACACTGATACAGCATTTTAGGTGAAGGTAGAACTTCAAAATGAGCCTAGTTAACCAATCCTGCAACAACGCAAACACAGGCTCATTTTGATTATTAGCAATTTTGATACCATGTGTAAATATACTAATTTTAATATTTATCATGAAGTCCTACCCATTAAGCCTGTGTCTATTTTCATATTTCCTATAAAAAAAAATCAAAAATATAATGTGCACCTAACCTTTTCATTTTCAAATTTTCCATTTCCTCTTCCCCCACCCTCCTTCCTTCCCCCCCCCCAAAAATAAAATATTCAGGAACATCCCATTGCTGTAAATTTAAAACACATGGTGTTTTTTTTATTTATTACAAAAAATGAAGCAACAAAATTGATAATTATAAGCCTTTTTTTTTTTTTATTAATTACAGGTTTGAAGATTTTTAACCTTTTAACAATGTTTCAACCAAATACAGAAAGTTTTCTCTCTCCGTTTGATATAACCGTCAATTTGATAAAGTAATCTGTATAACCATTTGTTAATTTCACAAGTTACTGGATATTATGTACTATAAACCAAGTAGGACTTCTCCACGTTACCTTATCGTAGTGAAATATGAGTAATTCCACTACAATGTTTAGGAACTTGATGTCCATGATGGCTGCTACAGACTCCTCCTCAGACCTCATCAGTGTCGGACCAAAACACACCCCAAGATTAGCCACCGTCATCAGGTTTTTATCACTTTGCTCAGAGATACTGGAAACACAGGGCAGTTAAATTATAACACTCTCCTTTTATCTGCACTCTTGTACAGTGATAATTCAGATAAGCACTCTGTTGTCAGTTATGACAATAGCTCTTGTTTTATTCTTTAGAATGTAAAATCGAACAAAGCCTTAAAGTGAATTAAGAAAGCTTAGAATGCATTCTCAACATCACATGTTATTAATTACAAAACCTGTTGACAGAAAAATTTGAAACACAATAACTGGAAAACATTGCATCCATTCATTTTCATAGTGAACAACGATGACGTCAGATTTGAATGCCTGTAGTACTTACTTAACATTGATGATGATGTCAGATTTGAATGCCTGTAGTACTTACTTAAGATTGATGATGACGTCAGATTTGAATGGCTGTAGTACTTACTTAACATTGATGATGACGTCAGATTTGAATGCCTGAAGTATTTACTTAACATTGATGATGACGTCAGATTTGAATGCCTGTAGTACTTACTTAACTTTGATGATGACGTCAGATTTGAATACTTTAGTACTTACTTTTTCAAGTGTCTAATCATCAGCTCCAACATTTCAAAGTTAGCCTCGGGCAGCTTGTGAACTAGAGTATGAACGTCATGAATACGCAGTGTCTTGGATTCTTGTTCTGAATAAATCACAAATGAAATAATTATAGTTATGAAATAACCATAACATCAGAGATATAATACTGTAACTTTTATTCTTGTAACCCCTTTGCACCAGTATATCCTGCTCCTTATGTACATATCTATCCTCAGATAATTATATTTAAATGGAAATGTTACTTTTCAGACACATTCAATATAATAGTTAAGTACACCTTTACAAAGGAAGGACTGATATTACTACACAAGTTCCAATGACCTGTATACATACAATCTAATTAAAATCATATCTTCACATCGCTCCCGTACAATTTTTTATCACCCCATATGAAATCAACTGTACCTCTAGCTGTTCCTTTTATCTACTGAACTTTTCATGGCTCATGGCTGTGGTGTAAGTAGCGCCTCCTACCTACCTAAATTACATCTGTATATGAAATCTTCACTAAGCTATATAAATTGTAGCACAGTGAACTAGTTGTACGAATGATAATATAATGATAACTTACTGGCAGCAGCTATAAAGTCCGAGTGAAATTTGAATGTCATCAGTGGTTCTGGTAACGACCTGTAACGGGGGAAAATATACATAAGGTCATCAGTAAATGTTCTGTAAAGGATGAACATTTTGGGGGGTTTCACATCTACAATGATAGTCCCATGAAAAAAGAAATGTTTTGGCTTCTTTGAATTAATATATTTTCTTTTAGTGATGGTAAATATCAAATAAGAAAAAAACAAATGGAAATTCATTTAACTCCCTGACCAGTTTCTAAAAACAACAAAAACATTACTTGAATCTTTATTTCTTCCTTTTAAAATAGCAGAACAATTTTTCGAACTGAACAGTATCTTGACAGTCGTTTTGAAGTGGGCTGGCACGTGTTGTCTTGACATACAGTACAGATGAAGATGATTAGTCTCAATAAAAGTATTATAGAACATTATAGCCCTTCATCTCAGCGTGCAACTTGCCAAATATCACCACACTAAACCTTTTGATGATTTAGATTAGGTCATTAAAAGGTTTATACATATTTGACCAAATGCAACCTTGAAAGAAGGTTAAAGTCATTCAAATGACTTGATAGCCCTTCATAAAAGCATGCTACTGACCAAATTTCAACATTCTAGGCCTCATGGTTATTCTTCAGAAGATGTTTAAAGATTTTAAACAAATTTGACCCATGTGACCTTGAATATATGTCAAGGTCATTTATTTTAACAAACTTGGTAGTCCTTCATCCCAGCATGCTACTGGCCAAATATCATCCCCCTGGACATTTTGGTTAATCAGAAGAAGTCGCTGAAAGTTTTTAGTATAGTTGACACCTGTGACCTTGAATATGGGTGAAGGTCATTTACTTTAACAAACTTGGTAGCACTTCATCCCAGTTTGCTTCTGGCCAAATATCATCACCTTAGACCTTTTGGTTATTAAGAAGAAGTTGTTTACAGTAAAATATTGATGTCTGACGCCGGACAACGGACAGACAATGGAAGGATGACGGAAGCAGCGCCACGGCATAAGCTCACCTGCCCCTTCATGCCAGGTGAGCTAAAAGCACTGAACATTTCCACTTGTTAGAGATAAAAAGATTAAATTCTTTATAAAATAACATATAGATATTATATAATAAATTGTTTACAATAAAAGTCAGCCATACATGCAATATGATGCAGTAACAGGTACCATAGCCTAACCTCATGGCTATAACCAATGGTCCAGTGGCTATCACAGCCTAACCTCATGGCTATAACCAATGGTCCAGTGGCCATCACAGCCTAACCTCATGGCTATAACCAATGGTCCAGTGGCTATCACATTCTAACCTCATGGCTATAACCAATGGTCCAGTGGCTACCACAGCCTAACCTCATGGCTACAACCAATGGTTCAGTGGCTACCACAGCCTTACCTCATGGCTATAACCAATGGTCCAGTGGCTATCACAGCCTAACCTCATGACTATAACCAATGGTCCAGTGGCTATCACAGCCTAACCTCATGGCTATAACCAATGGTCCAGTGGCCACCATAGCCTAACCGCATGCTATAACCAATGGTCCAGTGGCTATCACAGCCTAACCTCATGGCTATAACCAATGGTCCTGTGACTATCACAGCCTAACCTCATGGCTATAACCAATGGTCCAGAGGCTATCACAGCCTAACCTCATGGTTATAACCAATGGTCCAGAGGCTATCACATTCTAACCTCATGGCTATAACCAATGGTCCAGTGGCTATCACAGCCTAACCTCATGACTATAACCATTGGTCCAGTGACTATCACACATGTACAGTCTAAATTACATGTACATCGTAAATTACAAGTGTAACCTCCATTTTTTCAAAGCTCACAGAATTTATATATGTCCATAAACCCAAATTGATAAATCATAGAAAGACACTTAATAAATTTAAAAAGTATATCTGATTTCTTTCTGTTACTTGCAACTTAATGTGAATTACTACCACTTAACAAATATAGGTTGACTAAAAACTACATGTTAGTAAGGTATCAACTTAAGAATAATGAAACTTTATTTCTATTTCATGAAAGTAATATTATTAATTCACTTTGTGAAAAGTCAGAAGTCAGGAAACATAATAGAGACCTTTCTAAAATGGCTTTACAATAGTGTACAACTGAGCCACATTACTAGTATTCCTGGTGGATTTTTTCAAGTCCTCTTCTGGCATTGAGGAGGTCTTCTTGTTTCAGGTAATAAGATTAATCTAGATATGCCTTGGTTCTCTCCAATTAATGTCAAGTTTTACTTCTTTAGAAATAATTACAAGAGGCCCACTGTATCGCTCACCTGAATATTTAAGCAGTCATAGCAAAATATTTTCATTAAATATATTGCACTAAAAATATTTCCCTCGCAAACTTTGTTGGCTCCATCTGTTGAAGCTACCAGCAAAATATTATTATAAGATTCTATGCTTTTTGATTCTTCAGAAGTTGCTTGGCATATTTTCCCCTGTGACCTTGTAAGTAGGTCAATGTCATTTTCCTTCCCAAATTGGTTAGCTCTATTCCAAAAGCTACCAGCCAAATCTTATGAATCCATTCCTTTTAGTTCTTCCAAACAAATCCATTAAAATGTTGTTGACCTCTGGGACCTCTAAGGTAGGTTGAGGTTATTTTCATTCGCAAAGTTTGGTGAGCTCTATCCCAGGAAGTCACCAGCCAAATATTAAGATTTTATACCTTTCAGTTCTTCAGTAGAAGTTGTTCTAAGCGTTAGTCATATCTGACTCCTGTGACCTTGAAAGTAGGTCAATGTCACTTTCATTCGCAAACTTTGTTGGGCTCTTTCCTAGGAAATAACTAGCCAAATATTAAGGTTCTATAACTTCTAGTTCTTCAGGAGAAGTAATTTGAAATGTTTGACATATCTGCCTCATGTGACCTTAAAAGTAGGTCAAGGTCATTTTAATTCTTGAACTTTGTTGGGCTCTTTCCTAGGAAGCTACAAGCCAAATATAAAGATTCTATACCTTTCAGTTGTTCAGAAGAAGTCGTTTGAAGTATCTGACACATTTGACCCCTGTGACCTTGAAAGAAGGTCAAGGTCATTTTCATCCTCAAACTTTGTCGGGCTCTATCCCAGAAAGCCATCAATCTAATATAAAGATTCTATACCTTTCAGTTCTTCAGAAGAAGTAATTTGAAGCTTTTGACACATTTGACCCCGGTGACCTTGAAAGTAGGTCAAGGTAATTTTCATTCTTAAACTTTGTTGGGCTCCATCCAAGTAAGTCATCAGCCAAATATGAAGATTCAATACCTTTCAGTTGTTCAGAAGTCGTTTGAAGTTTTTGACATATTTGATCCCTGTGACCTTGAAAGAAGGTCAAGGTCATTTTCATTCTTAAACTTTGTTGGGCTCCATCCAAGGAAGCCATCAGCCAAATATGAAGATTCAATACCTTTTAGTTCTTCAGAAGTTGTTGGAAGTTTTTGACATATTTGACCCCTGTGACCTTGAAAGTACGTCAAACTAATTTTTATTCTCAAACTTTGTTAAGCTCCATCCCAGGAAGCCATCAGCTAAATATGAAGATTATATACCTTTTAGTTCTTCAGAAGTCGTTTGAAGTTTTTGACATATTTGACCCCTGTGACCCTTAAAGTAGGTCAAGGTCATTTTCGTTCTCAAACTTTGTAGGGCTCCTACCAACAAAGCTTTCAGCCAAATATCATGACTCTAGGCCTGTCCGTTCTTAAGAAGAAGTTGGTTAAAGGAAAAGTTGACGGACGAGGACGGACGGACGACGCACCACGACATAAGCTCACTCGCCCTTCGGCCAGGTGAGCTAATAAATGTGGTAATTCTCTGCATGAATTTGGGTTTTCTTTAGAAATAATTATTAAGTGTCAGGACCAAGGATATCAGTGTATTTAGACGTATATAAAATGACCATGAGCGACACAGAGGTTGCGGTCTGTTAAACCAGGACCAACACACAAAGGAAGGAAGGAAGGACAGAAAGGGTGTGGGAGCTAGCTGGTTAATCAAGGACAAACACACACAAAAAGGAAGAATAGAACAGGTGCACACTGGCCGGTTAAACCAAGACAAACACCCACAAGGGAAGGACTAGAGAACGTGCGGGCTGGCCGGTTAAATCAGGCCAAACACACAAAGGAAGGAGAGAGACGGTGCGACTGGCTGGTTAGACCAGGACAAACACATAAAGGAGGGACTAGAGAAGATGCGGGCTGGCCGGTTAGACCAGGACAAACACATAAAGGAGGGACTAGAGAAGATGCGGGCTGGCCGGTTAGACCAGGACAAACACATAAAGGAGGGACTAGAGAAGATGCGGGCTGGCTGGTTAGACCAGGACAAACACATAAAGGAAGGGCGAGAGATGGTGCAGCTGGCCGGTTAGACCAGGACAAACACATAAAGGAGGGACTAGAGAAGATGCGGGCTGGCTGGTTAGACCAGGACAAACACATAAAGGAAGGGCGAGAGATGGTGCAGCTGGCCGGTTAGACCAGGACAAACACATAAAGGAGGGACTAGAGAAGATGCGGGCTGGCTGGTTAGACCAGGACAAACACATAAAGGAAGGGCGAGAGATGGTGCAGCTGGCCGGTTAGACCAGGACAAACACATAAAGGAGGGACTAGAGAAGATGCGGGCTGGCTGGTTAGACCAGGACAAACACATAAAGGAAGGGCGAGAGATGGTGCAGCTGGCCGGTTAGACCAGGACAAACACATAAAGGAAGGGCGAGAGATGGTGCAGCTGGCCGGTTCGACATACATACCTAAGGTAATGTTTCACAGCACTTGTTACTGTCTTGATTTCAAACTGGGTAGGATCTTCTATATTTATCTTATCCTTTTTCTTGGGATCTGTCACAAAAAATCAAAGCATGCATAGGATAACATACAAAACTACTTATAACATCATGGTATTAGTATCTAGGGTCATCCACAGATTATAGATACATTCTATGAAATACAGTATATCAGGTATTATTTGCAAGTATCTTATTTTCACTTTATTCTTGAGATGATGAAATTACAAAAACAAAACTGAATGTCAATCTTTTGATAACATACTGAGAAATACAATGCACTTCTGTAATAGCATTAGCCTGGACATAAATGTCATTAAAGTTTGATTTTTAAATTTTTAAGTTTAGCACAGATAGGTATACCCTGACACACGGTATCACACTACTGATACAGACACTACAGTGAAATAGTCTGGAGGACAACATATCAAATATCTACTTTGTATTGGTTTCAAATCATTCACTTCTCAAGAAGCAGGGACACATCTTGCAAGAATCAGTTAACTTATATAGTTTTAAGTAATAATTCCACTTCTAAGCTGAAATCAGACAGCCCTATACCTGTTAGTAAAGGGGGAATCATGCTCTATAGGGACATATCAAACAAACTGTAATGACTTGTGGGGTTCACACACTCGTAAATAAACCTTACCAGAAGATACCACCAGGGATTATAATTGAACTACTTTCTCTGCAACACTCAGACATGCTATGACTAAGGTTTCCACTTACAGTCTGTTGATGTAGCTGCTTTGATGTTCACATCTACCTGTACTTAATGTATCTGTATAGTTCCCATCAAGGAAATGGCGTCCTAACAGAGGTATCAACCTCCCTATATATCAAGTATGTCACATCAACCGCTGATATGTCAAAAGGTTTCCACGAGCTTAGCACTAGAGGTAAAACTAGTAAAGGGAGATAACACACTCGCTATGTGCTATTGTCGCAAGAATAGCACTACAGTGCTAATGTTATTATGTTATATGTATATATGCGACGTTAAATAAAGCTTCTTGAATCTTGAATCTTGAATCTATTACTTACCCAGTCCAAGAGATATAAGTTTGCTGACCTTGGAGCTGACCCCCACAACACGGTACAGACCTTGGTCAAATAGTCCTGAAACAAGAAACCAGCATCATATACACGTATACCAGTAGGTTTACCTTCCTGTACTTGCATTGAACAAAACTATCAAAATCTTATAACCTAGTACTATGGGGCAATGTGAGATTTGCTTTCAATGTTTTTGACACATACCGTGGTATAAACAACATAATATATATAGGTAACCGAAGGTCATACAAATTCATAGATCCTAATAATATACAGACAAGCATGTAAGGAGATCTATTTAACAATCAGGATTCTTTCCATTAAATAAGACAGAACTACCTCTGCCATAAACAGATGCTTGTATCATTATAAAAATGAGAATCCACAAGTGAGGATTGATTGTTGTAATTATATCAACTATCTACTATGAGCTTTATAATGAGTACAGATCATATTGGAAATTAAATTCACTAGTTTAGATATAAATTATTTATTTTTTTATAAAATCTGGTTTACACCAAAACCAACACATTAAAGATAAAGTATTTTCATAACCAATGATCCGACTTCTCTGATCAAGAGATATTTTATGTAGGATGCATTACAAAGTACATTGTATTGTGATAAGTGCCACATGAAGTAACATCGTATAACGAAGTACATCATATTGTGATAAGTGTCACATGATGTAACACTGTATAACAAAGTACATTTTATTGTGATAAGTGCCACATGATGTTTCTTCAAAATGTTAAATTCTTAAAAATAGCACATTAAATTTTGGAAGTTATGGAATAAATTTACATAACATATTTGAGGAAAACATAAAAGATTACTTACCTCTTTCTTCAACACATTTGATACACCTTTCTATAAAACCAAATCCTATGTCATCCAAGGATGCTGTAAGTTGATATGTATATAACTGTTAATCCCTTGACAGTATCCACGTGTATCAATGCAACAACTTTAGTCTTATAGTAAATCAGAATATTACAACGAAAAATAAAAACATCACGAGACATTCTTATCTATGGTTTAGCTGGTGAGTGTATTGCATTTGCATATAAATATCATCAACCAATTATCATATAAATATCATCAACCAATTATCATATAAATATCATCAACCAATTATCATATAAATATCATCAACCAATACAAGAAGCTTGGGAGGTTTTCAAAATGACAAATGTGGAGGACATCTTGATTTTTAGATTGACACTTCCTTCCATTTTCACATTTTTATTGGAATCAGGTTTTTATTAATGTTACAAATATTCATTTCTCTTAAAAGCTAACCTCAGTCACCCCTTGTAACAAATATGGGGAGTCTGACTGAAATGTAAGTCACATTTCTGATAAACCATACTATGGCTTCTTCATCAGTGAGTTTATTACCAGTATCAGTGAAATAATTGTCTTTATTTTTAATGATAATAGGGAGACAAAGCTAAAATTAGTTCCCAGAACCAATACCTAAGTGAACAGTTACACTTACAATCATCTGAATTACTCTTTGGTGCATTATAAACCTGCAAGAAACAAAAAGTCGTTTGTTAATCATGAAAAAGTACACTCGAAACAGAACTAAAGTTATTCTACAGTAACTGTTTTATTTTTAATCAAAAATATAAAAAAAAAAATGTATAATATTTGCAATCTGTGTGAATCCATACAGCAGATTTTTGCAGATTATTTTCTTTTGTACCCTAATGAAAACTTTTAAAGATCAACCTCAATACTTGTAAATATATCACATCACCAGTAAAATTCTTTAAACTGCTTTTAATTATCAAACTGTTCCGTCCACATGGACAAAAGTAGGTCATAGAAGGTTGGCCAGACGAGAAAAACAAACTTATGGAATTTGAATATTTGGTGTGAAAAATTAATTCTATAGGTGTGAACCTGCAGTTACAGAAGCATCAGTTATTTGTTGCTTAACAGCCAGAAATAGCATAACAAATATCGTATAACCTGAAACATTCACCGACACTCAACCAGTGATACAAACGTTTGTTGTTACTGTAAATATCTAAGTCACTTATTTATGTTGTACCATTATTCAATGTACAAATATTCCTGGTTCAACTATAACTCGGACTGTAAACTTCAAACAGTGACAGTTTCATGTTATGTATACCTAGAGTAGTGTTACTCCCTGATGATTGAAACCAAGTAATTTGAAATTATAAAGACATGTACGGCAACAAAAAATGCAACAGCATACAGCAGGAAGCTTGGCCTCAGAACTTAGTACACTTCGCACAGTACAGAAAGCGGACAGTAGATTAACATCTATAGAAAAGCTGAATAATTACTGCAAAGATTTTAATTTCCATTTGAATGAGTCATAGATTTCAAATATTGAGGAAGTTACAGTATTAATGTCTAGTTTTTCCTTATTAGTAAAGCTAGCTGTTACAACTACAGGGAAAAGTCATTATCTTATTTACCTATGATTTACCATCAATATCAAATCTGGAATTATCCAGTAATGTCTAGAACATTTTCTATCGGCAACAATTCCTGCAGACCATAAATTAAAGTAACGTTCACTTCCTGTGGACTATATAAAAGTAACTTTCACTTCCTGTGAACTATATAAAAGTAACCTACACTTCCTGTGGACTATATAAAAGTAACCTACACTTCCTGTGAACTATATATAAAAGTAACCTTCACTTCCTGTGGACTATATAAAAGTAACCTTCACTTCCTGTGGACTATATAAAAGTAACCTTCACTTCCTGTGGACTATATAAAAGTAACCTTCACTTCCTGTGGACTATATAAAAGTAACCTACACTTCCTGTGGACTATATAAAGTAACCTACACTTCCTGTGGACTATATAAAGTAACCTACACTTCCTGGGAACTATATAAAAGTAACCTACACTTCCTGTGAACTATATAAAAGTACCCTACACTTCCTGTGGACTATATAAAAGTAACCTACACTTCCTGTGGACTATATAAAAGTAACCTACACTTCCTGTGGACTATATAAAGAAAACTACACTTCCTGTGGACTATATAAAATTAACCTACACTTCCTGTGAACTATATAAAAGTACCCTACACTTCCTGTGGACTATATAAAAGTAACCTACAGTTCCTGTGAACTATATAAAAGTAACCTACACTTCCTGTGAACTATATATAAAAGTAACCTTCACTTCCTGTGGACTATATAAAAGTAACCTTCACTTCCTGTGGACTAACTAAAGTTTCCTTTAGGCTAAATACCACTGCTTACAAATGATATTAGTTGAGATGAGTACAATGATAACTTGGACCTCTGATACTGAAGGTCAGGTGAAATCTTACTGTGTAGAAGGTGGACACCCCTCCTGTTACAGGTAAACTTGTAGTATACATCTAGTGTTTAATCAGAAAATTTCAGAAGAAAAAAAATCAATGCTTAGATAATAAATTATGATAAAAAAAAAAATGTAAATTGTCCAATGTTTACCTAAATAACATTGATGTAACATTGTTATTATTGGTAATCAGAAAAATATGTAAAGTGCTTAAATTTAATATGTATAACCAACTCATTTTCTCCAAAAAATATAGATCACCAAAGAGGACATTCTACATTCTACAAAAAAAATATTAAAAAAAATATATTATATAATAAATATTTTCCATTTTTTCCATTTTAAAAGTATAAGTTTTATTTGGTATATATTTAGATTTCACCTTTTGAAACAGTTAAAAATAAAGCAATGTGTCTTATTAGCATTTAAATCATTATAACCAACATATAAAAGGCTGAAAAAAAGTCAAACTTGGATCTGCCCCTGGGCATGATCTCACTTTATGGGAATTGTGCTTATCCAAAGTCTAACCAAAAAAAATGAAACTAAACGCAAAGTCTAAAAACAATGACCAATGAAGCAGAAAATATAGGTCACAGTGACCTACATTTACTGTACTAGGTCACAGTGACCTACATTTACTGTACTAGTGTAGTTCTCATCAAAACATCGCTTTAAAGAAGCTTTCTGTTTATATTTAAAGCAATTCTAACCTCGTTGTTGTATAGACATATTGCCTTATATGATGGAAAAGGCAATATTAATGCCCTATTCACTTTATGTTGCCGAGGCATCAAAATTACACAAATGTGGCAATAACTATAGTGTTACCTACCGGTTCCTTGCCGTCCATCACATCCATCCATAACTTCCTGTCCTGGTCAGACGGTGACTGGAACGTGATCTGATCTTGTCTGTAATAAAAACACACACCTCAGTAATATTGATAATTTAATGGTTTTAATCAGCCAAATATTCAGCCTTTTCTAGTAAATTTATAATCACAGAGTGCTATTTTCACCTTCCTCATGCAATAACTTTGCATAGTACGTTATATACTAACATTTACAGTCATGATGAATTCGCTAATATTACAGAGGGCCAAAAAGGTGAAAGTAAAACTGTGGCAAAAATTCCCCAGGACACATAACAAAATGAAGCTTACTCTTTTTTTTTTCAAATGCTAATTAAACCTTAGTGATTTGTGGGACATTATGTGTGGGGTATACATACCTGCTATCTGGTAGCATCACAGTAAGATCAAAACAGAAGCGTTTTTCTATTGACTGTGATGGTCGACGCACACAAGACTTCAATATGAGTTTTTCAGTTGTTGACTGGATCTGTTATACAAATATAAGACTACCCAGTCAGGACATTCAGTATAATTATCAAAACTGTGTGAGCCTGTTTTTTTTACTAAACAGCTTTTTTTTATTGACAATAAAAATACATTCACCAATCCATATTTCATGGAACAAGCAATTACAACTATAATGTGTGTTGCCCCACTTACATTGTACCTCTCCTACAGGTAGATAATGGTTTATACAGCTAGCTAAATCATATTGTATAAGTTTTCTGTTAAATAATGGTGACTAGATCCTGAAACAACAGCACAAGTGATGGCATAATTAATATAGCTCAACAGTTTACTATTATACCAATGCAATTCACTGTGGTTCAAACCACAGCAAAACCCTAGATCTCACGTCTAGATAAAACGGATTATCATAGCTGTGATTCGGAAAAAAAGGCATTTGCATTTGAGCAAAATTCAGAAGTTGTCGAAGGTTTACTTTCTTACAAATCGTGTAACAAAATGGTTGTAATCTTACCCCTTATGTTATCTGGTGGTTTACATGTTCTTTAAGCCTATGAAGGCTGGTGATTTTTAACTCTTACAGGTACCTATTACTGTACTACATGTATTGACATTATATTTTTCCATATTTTATCAAACTTCTCAGTTGATATACATAGCAACAAATAAATTTAACCCTATAATAAGACAAAACGGAACTCCAAAGCTGACAAACAGAGGTATATGTGATTGCTTACACGGGTTGGTTTAAACATATTTTTATTGCCTTGAAAATGACAAAAAGGATTGGGCACAAGTTCTTACAACTTTATTAAGCCCTCTCCTAACTTAAATACATTTTACGTACATCATAGCTGTCTTAACATGTACATTTCATTTTTTTTTTTTTTTTTTTTTTTTTAAATTTAAGTTAAATGATTAAAATAGGTTGTTGACGACTGTTTCTCTGTACCCCGACCTACTCATAGAGAATTAACCGAGGTTTTCACACAGATAAAGAAAATTCAATTCTTCGAACATAATGTAATTTTTGTAATTAAGACTACTTACTAGAAGCGGTTTGTATCCTTAATGTAGTGAGATCATGATTACCCCAGAGAAGTGTGTTTACGTCTGTTAGGAGGATCTCTGGAAGATTTAAGTTCCTAAGATTTCTTACCAGGTGATTTCTTACAGTTGAGTAATTTGGACATGTATAGAAATAGTGATGTACAATTTCTACTTCCCCACATAAACATAAAGGGTTATCACTGAGGTTAACTCTATAAATGTCATATTGAAGACTGCTGCATTTGTTCCCAAGTCTGGTGTGTAAAATTGTAAATTTTCTATCTCCTACTGTTAAAAATTTTGGAATAGAAACAACATCATGTTTGAAACAGTTTTTAAATGCAACAAGAGAATGGGTTGACTTTATACAGGAGTTGAGGGAATTCCATTGTGTTACAGATGATGGTATGAATGATTTTCTAAAAAGTTCTGTCCTACATCGTGGGATAGTGAAATCGTCTTGGTTACGAGTAGCATATGTTGATGTTTCAGAACGGAGACTAGGAAGGATTTCTACCAGATAATTTGGTGTCATATCGTTTTTTATTTTGAAAAGGGTTGATAGCTTAATATGTTTACGACGTTCGGATAAGAGTTCCCATCCCGTCTCAAAGTAAAGCGATTCTCTTGATGCGTATACAGGTAGGCCGGTAACTACTCGAGCTGCAAGTAACTGAACTCTTTCAAGTTTTTCAGAGTCTTGTTGAGAACATCCATCCCAGACTACCGATGCGTACTCCAATAAGGGACGAATATAGGTTTTATAAAGAACAGATAAAGAATATCTAGACACTCAATATTTAAGTTTTTTGAGTAATACTAGTTTTTTGTATGCTGACTTGGCAATACAGTCAATATGGTATGACCATCTGCCATCACTGGAGAAATTAAGACCTAGATGTTTATGATGCTGAATGAATGGTAAAGTAATGTTTTGAAATACAATATCAGGTAATGCAGTATTTCGTCTTTTTGAAATAAAGATCATATTTGTTTTTTTCTGCATTGAATTTCATTAACCATTTCTTTGACTAATTTTCCAAAATAGATAGATCATGATTTATACAAGTTTCCATCTCTCCGGTGGTTGCAGATGATTTACCCAAGGATGTGTCATCAGCGAATAATCTGCTTATACTCATCATATTTTCAGCAATATCATTTACATATATAAGAAATAAGAGAGGACCCAGTACTGACCCTTGGGGCACTCCTGCTGATAGGTTAAGTGAGTTTGATTGACAGGATCTGTAAACAACTCTTTGTTTTCTATCTAATAAGTAGCTTTTTAACCAACTCAAAATATTACCTGTTACACTATATTTTTCTAATTTGTACAACAATCCCCTATGCCATACCCTATCAAAAGCTTTCGATAGATCACAAAAGACTATACAACAGTCTTGTTGGTTATCCAGAGCAGAGACAATACTATGGTAGATTTCCAAAAGTTGGAATACGGTGGAGTGGCCTGGTAAGAACCCTGATTGATATTTGTAAAATAAATTATTGGTGTGAAAGAAGTTATAAATATTCTTAAAAACTAAACGTTCCAACACCTTACTGATACAACTTAGCAGAGATATTGGTCTATAGTTTGAAACCATACTGGGATTATCTTTCTTAAATAAAGGTACAACATTTGCTAATTTTCACATACAAGGGAAGCAGTTTTCTGAAAGAGATCTGTTAAAGAGGATACACAAAGGTTTACAGACATGTATGGGTTACACGGGTTACTTACCAGTTTACCGGCCACCAGGGCTGTTTTTGTTTAAACGGTCAAACCAGTCGGACAACAGTTGTTCGTTTATTAAATAAGGTCGGACTTAGTAATCTGATGCTGCCTTCAAGCGAGCCTTAATTGTCAAAGCCTTGCAAGGCCTGCATAGACATTTGCAGGTCCACCAGGATTTATACCCGAAATTGTTACATTTATAAACAGCCAAACCGGTTGTTCCACATAAACGAACAGGCCCCTGGTTATATATAGGGCATCATGTGGAATTCTACACTTACCAGTTTACTGGCCACCTGGTTATAGGGCATCATGTGGAATTCTACACTTGCCAGTTTACTGGCCACCTGGTTATAGGCCATCATGCGGAATTCTAAACTTACCAGTTTACTGGCCACCTTGTTATAGGTCATAATGTGGAATTCTAAACTTACCAGTTTACTGGCCACCTGGTTATAGGCCATCATGTGGAAATCTACACTTACCAGTTTACTGGCCACCTTGTTATAGGGCATCATGTGGAACTCTACACTTACCAGTTTATTGGCCACCTGGTTATAGGGCATCATGTGGAATTCTACACTTACCAGTTTACTGGCCACCTTGTTATAGGCCATAATGTGGAATTCTAAACTTACCAGTTTACTGGCCACCTTGTTATAGGGCATCATGTGGAATTCTACACTTACCAGTTTACTGGTCACCTGGTTATAGGGCATCATGTGGAATTCTACACTTACCAGTTTACCGGCCACCTGGTTATAGGGCATCATGTGGAATTCTTTGTTTTCCTTCTTGTACCAGCAGTAGTGTTTATTCCAGGACACACCCAGGGCTTCTGTTGATAAAAAAAAAACAATGACATGAATCAATTCAAGACAAAATTGTATTTCAATCAATTTCAGGAGTTTAGGTTAAATGTGACTTAAAATAATAATCTATCATCAGATTGTTTATACTAGTACTGACCAAAAAAAGACCTAGTGTAACTAGGCGGTGGTACATGACCTATATAATGTATAACAGGGGGCGGGGAAAAAAGGGACTGATCTACTCAAAACAAGTGGAGTTCACTGTTGGGCTAGAAACAATCCAGTTAACATTTAAATTAGTCTTATATGAATATATAACACCTGCTTTTGATACGGATCAAATGTACTATTCTTCCTCTTCCAGTTACATCCACGAAGATCACCGAGAACAATATCTGCTGACTTTTCTTCAAATGACAGAGATATCCCTTTTATGTCACAGACATAAAATGGGCTGAAGGAAAAAAATTCATACACCCCTTTCCTGCCTTGGACAGTCATACAATCACACACACACAGGAATAGCAAGAGAAATCCCTCTCATGTACATCATATATACAGCTGTACTTACTCTTCTCCATAAGGTAGAGATAGCCCTCTCATGTACATCATATATACAGCTGTACTTACCCTTCTCCATAAGGTAGACATATCCCTCGCGTGTACATCATATATACAGCTGTACTTGCTCTTCTCCATAAGGGAGAGATATCCCTCTCATGTACATCATATATATAGCTGTACTTGCCCCTTCTCCATAAGGTAGAGATATCCCTCTCATGTTCATCATATATATAGCTGTACTTACCTCTTCTCCATAAGGTAGAGATATCCCTCTCATGGACATCATATATACAGCTGTACTTACTCTTCTCAATAAGGTAGAGATATCCCTCTCATGGACATCATATATACAGCTGTACTTACCCTTCTCCATAAGGTAGAGATATCCCTCTCATGGACATCATATATACAGCTGTACTTACTCTTCTCCATAAGGTAGAGATAGCCCTCTCATGTACATCATATATACAGCTGTAATTACTCTTCTCCATAAGGGAGAGATATCCCTCTCATGTACATCATATATGCAGCTGTACTTTCTCTTCTCCATAAGGTAGAGATATCCCTCTCATGGACATCATATATACAGCTGTACTTACCCTTCTCCATAAGGTAGAGAAATCCCTCTCATGTACATCATATATATAGCTGTACTTTCCCCTTCTCCATAAGGTAGAGATATCCCTCTCATGGACATCATATATACAGCTGTACTTACCCTTCTCCATAAGGTAGAGAAATCCCTCTCATGTACATCATATATATAGCTGTACTTACTCTTCTCCATAAGGTAGAGATAGCCCTCTCATGTACATCATATATACAGCTGTACTTACTCTTCTCAATAAGGTAGAGATATCCCTCGCGTGTACATCATATAAAGGTAGAGATATCCCTCTCATGTACATCATATATATAGCTGTACTTACTCTTCTCCATAAGGTAGCGATATCCCTCTCATGTACATCATATATGCAGCTGTACTTTCTCTTCTCCATAAGGTAGAGATATCCCTCTCATGTACATCATATATATAGCTGTACTTACTCTTCTCCATAAGGTAGAGATATCCCTCTCATGTACATCATATATACAGCTGTACTTACTCTTCTCCATAAGGTAGAGATATCCCTCTCATGTACATCATATATACAGCTGTACTTACTCTTCTCCATAAGGTAGAGATATCCCTCTCATGTACATCATATATACAGCTGTACTTACTCTTCTCCATAAGGTAGAGATATCCCTCTCATGTACATCATATATACAGCTGTACTTACTCTTCTCCATAAGGTAGAGATATCCCTCTCATGTACATCATATATACAGCTGTACTTACTCTTCTCCATAAGGTAGAGATATCCCTCTCATGTACATCATATATACAGCTGTACTTACTCTTCTCCATAAGGTAGAGATATCCCTCTCATGTACATCATATATACAGCTGTACTTACTCTTCTCCATAAGGTAGAGATATCCCTCTCATGTACATCATATATACAGCTGTACTTACTCTTCTCCATAAGGTAGAGATATCCCTCTCATGTACATCATATATACAGCTGTACTTACTCTTCTCCATAAGGTAGAGATATCCCTCTCATGTACATCATATATACAGCTGTACTTACTCTTCTCCATAAGGTAGAGATATCCCTCTCATGTACATCATATATACAGCTGTACTTACTCTTCTCCATAAGGTAGAGATATCCCTCTCATGTACATCATATATACAGCTGTACTTACTCTTCTCCATAAGGTAGAGATATCCCTCTCATGTACATCATATATACAGCTGTACTTACTCTTCTCCATAAGGTAGAGATATCCCTCTCATGTACATCATATATACAGCTGTACTTACTCTTCTCCATAAGGTAGAGATATCCCTCTCATGTACATCATATATACAGCTGTACTTACTCTTCTCCATAAGGTAGAGATATCCCTCTCATGTACATCATATATACAGCTGTACTTACTCTTCTCCATAAGGTAGAGATATCCCTCTCATGTACATCATATATACAGCTGTACTTACTCTTCTCCATAAGGTAGAGATATCCCTCTCATGTACATCATATATACAGCTGTACTTACTCTTCTCCATAAGGTAGAGATATCCCTCTCATGTACATCATATATACAGCTGTACTTACTCTTCTCCATAAGGTAGAGATATCCCTCTCATGTACATCATATATACAGCTGTACTTACTCTTCTCCATAAGGTAGAGATATCCCTCTCATGTACATCATATATACAGCTGTACTTACTCTTCTCCATAAGGTAGAGATATCCCTCTCATGTACATCATATATACAGCTGTACTTACTCTTCTCCATAAGGTAGAGATATCCCTCTCATGTACATCATATATACAGCTGTACTTACTCTTCTCCATAAGGTAGAGATATCCCTCTCATGTACATCATATATACAGCTGTACTTACTCTTCTCCATAAGGTAGAGATATCCCTCTCATGTACATCATATATACAGCTGTACTTACTCTTCTCCATAAGGTAGAGATATCCCTCTCATGTACATCATATATACAGCTGTACTTACTCTTCTCCATAAGGTAGAGATATCCCTCTCATGTACATCATATATACAGCTGTACTTACTCTTCTCCATAAGGTAGAGATATCCCTCTCATGTACATCATATATACAGCTGTACTTACTCTTCTCCATAAGGTAGAGATATCCCTCTCATGTACATCATATATACAGCTGTACTTACTCTTCTCCATAAGGTAGAGATATCCCTCTCATGTACATCATATATACAGCTGTACTTACTCTTCTCCATAAGGTAGAGATATCCCTCTCATGTACATCATATATACAGCTGTACTTACTCTTCTCCATAAGGTAGAGATATCCCTCGCGTGTACATCCCTTACTGGCCCCCGTCTGGTTAACAGGCTTCTGTAAAACATTGTTAGTCATATCTTTATATTAAAGCCAAACAGTTCAATTTCATGAATTTTCTTGCATTCTATCATCAGCTTGACCTTTTTCAAATTATAAATGTTACATCGGCATTTTTTTCCATTTTTGATGTTAAATAAAACTCTTAGTTTTAACAAAATAAATTGATCATCTTGATAGAGTTTTGAGGTTATTTAAATGGATAGGCAGTACATCAATGACTGTTGTTAGTTACCCAAGTATACAAAGGTACCCTAATTAACAATTTGTACAGTCTGTTTGTATTTTTCTTTTTAAAGCTTGTCCTGTTCAAAGACAATGGCGTTTCAGCCACCTACAATATGTGCCACATGCAAACTGAAAGTGAAAATTTAATGAATGAAAGATCAAGGTTTTGTTTTATATTCAGATTTTACACCATTTAAGTTTGTTCAGAAGCCAGGTTTTGTACTGTTTAGCAGTAAAAACATTATTTACAGGTCATCCTCAGTAATCAGTGTTACACAGAAGTAAAATGAGTATAGTTTGGTAAAACTATTTTTGTCGTGACTATTTGTGGAAAATACGGTAAATGCAGTTGGATTAGTGTGATTGAAGAAGTGAAAGTAAGACAATTTAAATACTACAGAAGGTAGAAAAACAGAAGAAGCTGTAAAGAATATATAATAAAATCCTGGATCACCTTGAATGATGGTAGATTCCTTGAAAAATAATTTAATTTTCCACAAAAGAAGGAAATCCAGTCAATATTATAACTAATTAACTAACTGATTAGAGTGTGTTCATAGAACATGCAACATAATAATCAAATACTGAAAAACCTGTCTTCCTCTTGGACCAGAAATTTAGACCTCCAAAACAACTTACAGCATATAGCTTAATATTAAATCAGGACGAAAAAAACAAAAATACATTTAGCTCTAACAGGAAATTTTCGAGGATACCATATATTACTTGTAACAATTAAGGTAGCACTTGATAACTTGTATGGATTAAGGTAGCGCTTGATAACTTGTATAGATTAAGGTAGCGCTTGATAACTTGTATAGATTAAGGTAGTGCTTGATAATTTGTATAGATTAAGGTAGCGCTTGATAACTTAAATGGATTAAGGTAGTGCTTGATAATTTGGCTCTCATTCTGTCCAAATGTACAAGACATAAAACAGGTATCTCTGTATCTGACATTAAATAAGGAACTAATGTCTAAAGTTGTAATGTGACATGCTGAGTAGAGTGAGATAGTGAGCAGAGTCGTGAAGCAGAGTCGTGAAGCATGCTTACCAACATCTCAGCAGCCTGGGTTTGAAGCATGAGGAAGGAAACATAAAATCAGTTACAGCCCCAAAGGGGTACTATTAGTGCACTCACAGCATGGGCGGTAAAAAACCACTTGTCACACAATTCAGACTATTTCTAAACAAATAGTGTTTTAGCTTATAAAACACCACTACATGTGTTTATAAATTATTTGTATCAATTTAAGTTCAAAAGCTGCAAAACAAATCAGTTCAAAAAATTAGCAATAACACATGTCCAAATTAGTACGGCTGAAGCCTGGGCGTGCAATCCCCTCTCCCAAACAGCGTGGCGGTGCCAGCTAACAGATGTCAATGGTACTAATTACATGTTCGTGCAAAGCTGATCAGATGCAGTAAGTTCGGAAACATTTGACATAGCATTATGTACTTCGTACTGGAAGAATGCAGGAAATGATGAGAATGAAACAAATTAATCTCAATGATTTACTGACTCAATGATAAATCGTAAATTATATTCTATCTAGCTCAGTTTAGCTAGGTGGCACAAGACCAATAGTTAGTGCCTGATAAGACAGCTCCTGTAAAATCCTCAAAATGTTGTTTGTATTAATTGTTTGTATAACTTTTGAATTATAATGCATTGTAAAAGTAGCTTATTCTAGCTAAATTGTTACATCAATTGTCATAAAATTAAATAAACTTATCCAAAAATTTGGATAATGTAAGAAGAAAAATGATACCATGCTGTTATCTTTCCACTTATAACTTGTATTTGAAAACAGCTACTATCAACAAACCAAGATTGCATCTTTCATGCGAGCCAACAACTCTTTTTCTATTTATAGATGCAACAGAATCCCTCATGCAAGCAAATAATTGTAACTGACAAGTTTTTATTAAGCATCTGAGTGTCAAACTTGTCTGCCATCTATGTTTGATCACCTCTACAATTCTGAGTCCTTAGTAAAATGAGAGCAACATTTTGTAAGTCATAATTATATCAGTGCTGTATCCATTATACTGATATACTGTTGTGTTTCGTTGTGACTATCCACCGTGCCTATCTGAACAGAAGCCATAGGGACTACCCACCATCAATACCTAATGTTTACTGGCGATTACTAGTCAGTGACTTACCGTTCCTCTATTGTCTAAAGTTTTTAACATCAATTTTTCAGTCTGCTCTCGGGTCATCTCAAAACTTTCTCTTGTCTATAAATAGAAAAATGAAGTGATTAGAAGATTTGCAAGACACACAGGATATGGTGGGGTGACACAAAGGTTTGTGTGACACACAAGATGTGGTGGGGAGACACGAAGGTTTGTGTGACTCAAAAGATGTGGTGGGGTGACACGAAGATTTCCAAGACACACAAGATGTGGTGGGGGGACAAGAAGGTTTGTGTGACACACAAGATGTGGTGGGGAGACAAGAAGGTTTGTGTGACACACAAGATGTGGTGGGGAGACGCCAAGGTTTGTGTGACACACAAGATGTGGTGGGGAGACACCAAGGTTTGAGAGACACACAAGATGTGGTGGGGGGACACGAAGGTTTGTGTGACACACAAGATGAGGTGGGGAGACAAGAAGGTTTGTGTGACACACAAGATGTGGTGGGGAGACACCAAGGTTTGTGTGACACACAAGATGTGGTGGGGAGACACGAAGGATTGAGTGACACACAAGATGTGGTGGGGGGACACGAAGGTTTGTGTGACACACAAGATGAGGTGGGGAGACAAGAAGGTTTGTGTGACACACAAGATGTGGTGGGGAGACACCAAGGTTTGTGTGACACACAAGATGTGGTGGGGAGACATGAAGGTTTGTGTGACATTTGAACTTTGACTGATGACCTCAAAAGGTTGACAAGGTTTACAGCTAGCACAATTAAGGTGCAATGAAAATGGTCAAAATCCATCCACATAAATTTGAAATATTCATAGTATCAATAAATATATTCACAAACGTTTTCTTAACAATAAGTTAACAAAATATTAAACCACATTTTCGTTTAACTGTATTTTCAAATTACCAAATGTTAAGGTCATTTAGACATATACATACCATGATAGTTAACATTTGTATAGATCTGAGTGAGGCCAAAATAAATCATAATCTACAAGTTATGTGTCTGTAATAACACTCACCTTCTGCAATATCTTCTGAAGTTGTGATGAGTAATCATTTAATTCAGTCTTTGCTTCAAATCCTTAAAAACAAGTGTATCATCTTTAAATAACAATTCTTCAGAGGATTCTGCATTAAACAGTTACATTATTCCATTAAATCAAATGAAATTTTACGTTTTCACATTCTTTGTTGAGTTCTAATAGTTCGTATAGCAAGAGGCCCATGGGTATTAATGGTCACTTGAGTTAAAAAATATACCTACTAGTTGATTTTTTAAGTCTTTTCCAGTCTCCAGTATACCAGATATCAAATGTCGATTTAAGACTACCAAATTGCAACATTTATAAAAGTTGGGATTTTTGTTCAAAATGTTTACACCATCAAACTATCATCCCATGATGATATTTCCAATCAAGTTTGAATTGTATCCAACCAATAATAAACAAATAAACAAGATAAATCCTTGATTTTTCTTTCCCAATAAAAACCATAGTTCTCAAGCCGGGG